TCCCCCTTCTTTCCATGGCTTTGAGTCTCTTTGATCGTTGTCGCTGCCGCCTGGCTTGTTGGCATGTGTTTTAGTCAGTCCGTGGGTCTCTGATTCCGTGGGAGCCGTAGCAAATCAGATATATGACATGCGTATGGGTCAAGATGACTGGGGTTCAAGAGAAGAATCCTGCTGCAAGGGACGCGACACTCGAAACTGGTGGATGAGTGGACAAGGATCACGGACTGAATCCGTGTGGATTATGACGATCTTATAGCGATCAATGGGCCCAGGGTCATTGAGATGATGGTTCGGTGGAAGCAGCAAGTAGCAGATGCAAGTGAATCGCTGAGAAAACTAGAACATTGACTGAGGATGATTAAGAGATTGTCTTCCGAGCAAGATTGGCAGCTACAATTCGGGCCTGAAGGATAGATTGCTTGACTAGCCACTTCCATTGACGGGTCATCTGGGAACGAACAATACGTACCACACGGCTAACTAAATCTCTCTCCGTATTAGTGGTCATAAAGGCTTTCATGGGGACTTGGTAGTCGTGGTAAACCAAGAGATTCATTAAAAGTCAATCATAAATACAGCGCTGGTACATAGGCCATAATCTATAGTCAAAAACACATGGAACCCTATAAAACGAAAATAACCGTGCTGGTCCAAGCCTAAACAAACCAGACGCCGTCTAGAAACGCCAGTCCCCAAAGCACGTCTAATTGCTGTCCAAGACAACGACCTCAGCTTCCGCCTCTCCGACGCTCTCCACGCTAAGCACATCTCCGGCATTCACTCCTGTGATGAAAGCGCCGTCGCCCTCTTCCAAAACCGCATTGTCGCGGAAGTCGAGTCTGATCTTCGCCTTGCCGCCCTTGGTCATGGGGAGGTGGATGTAGACATTGCGCTTCTTCTTCTGGGTGACGGCATCGCCAGCGCCGACCGTCCACTGGAATGTCTTCTCGGGCTCGATGATCCCGGCCCCCATCACGAAGTCCGCATGGATGGGGATGGTCTCGGGGATCTTCGGGACAGCCGCCTCCTCTTCCGCCGCGGTAGCATCGGGACCCGCCGCGAGCGGCGACAGAATATGCACGAACCCCTGACGCTTTGCCGCTTCATCGAACGTTCTCGTGTGGTAGTTTGGCTTGAGTCCATACTTCCATGGGAGAGCCCAGATTTGAAGGAAGTGCACTGGTTTGTTGGACTCGTTCTGTTCGGAATGCGCGATGCCTGTTTTGTCGTTCAGGTTAGCTTATCGTAGGATAATTTGTGTTAAGGAGATCAATTACATACCTGTACCACCGGTCGTGAACTGTACATCACCCCGCTTCATCCGGTAGAATTGCTTGCCCTGCGCACCTTCGGCGCCCTTCTTGATCATGCTGTCGCGGTGGGTCAGCTCGCCGCTGAGGATGTAGCTGAAGATCTCGGCATCGCGGTGAGGGTGGGTCGGGAACCCATTGCGGGCCGCGACGCGGTCCTCGTTGAGCACGCGCAGACTGCCGAACTGGTTGAACTTGTGGTCGTAGTAATTGGCGAAGCTGAAGGTGTGGAAGGTCTTCAGCCAGCCGCCGTGTTCGGCGTAGCCGCGCTCGCTGGAGCGGCGGGCCACGATGGAGGCGTGAGCGAGAGGCTTGGACATTTCGATGGAGGTATTGTTCGAGATAATTGTTCTGGTAATGAAGAAGATGAGAGGAGCGAGGATGATGAGTGAGTAGAGTGGTGTTGAGATGGGATTGAATGTGATGTGCATTTTCAGAAACTATTCCCTCTGTCGCTGCGATCGATGATCGGCTTTATAGTTTTAGTGGGCTGCAGGTCCAGGCGGGGCGGGGATCCGTCTGTAAGCATGGGGTAAGACTGACTAAGGACCCCTGGGAATCTTCCTCCTTCCCACAGCAATGCTGATGGAAGAATCACGGCCATTTGCGCACGGTGAGTGGCTGAAGGAATTGTGTTTTACTGAGTAAGAAGATTCTAGCCTCTGAGCTGTCAAATTCTTCCTCGTATTATGGGGTGGTTGATAAGTTCTGGGTAATTATGCTGACAGACATCTTTTCTGATCCACGATTTGTCAATCATCCGTAAGATCTTTTGATGGAAAGGTGAGCTGCCTGATTGGTCAGGTATATTTAGCCACTGTCATCATGGATGACATAATCAGTATCCGTTTTCATCAACTAAGAACGTTGACAACTTTATTTGAGGTAACCTACCTCCTAGTATCAAAACTTCAGAATCTGGCTCTTCCGCTTTTCTTTCTGAAGAAGCTCTTTTCCTAAGTGACTCCATGTAGTGTGCTTGAGGTCTGCTCAGGTTGTCGCTTGGCCACCAACAACCTATGTATCATGACCCTATCGATTTCTGTTAAGCTGAGCTTAAAGACACGAGGTCGCATATGATCGGATCGTGAGTGGTTATTGCCTTGCAAATGTTGTTCTCATTTTACACTTGGAAGTAAAAGCTCGCTGAGAATCTGCATCGCTCCAGTTACCCTGAATGGATCATGCAATATCTAGTTCTTTGGTTTCTGCCGCAAAACTATTATGACATCTCATTGTTATTGCAGGCTGCATTGTAACATTCCAAAAATGTTCACTTCATTTGTCCCAGCTCTGAAGGCTGGAGCAAAGCCGCAGCGATCATATTTCCTGCCTAATCGAAGTTGCCCGCTTCGCCGATATGAGTGACATCAGCGACCTGACATACGCCATGGCTACGAGCATCAAGCAAGTGCTTATGAAGGACCCGGACTGTAAGCAAAGCCGCGATTCATGGTGTGCTTGTCCAAACTCTGTGTGGTGTTAAAGCATGTCAAAATAGAGCATCCCGAGTCAGTGGATGGACTTCCTACAGGAAACCCAGTACGTCGAGTCTTCGTCCTCGCATCTGTGGAACCGTATTTGATGGCCGACCACTTCAAGTTCCTTCAGGACATTGCGCTCTGTCCGAGGTTCACGTACGATCTTCTTGTGGAGACAAGAAGAATTTTGCAAGAAGCAGGTATTCGACACAAGTGTCCGCTCTCGCAGGATCCCCCAGCTCATACCAAGCTGTCGCCAAGTCATTAGATGCGCGTTGTCGAACACAATTACTTCTTCCAAGAGTCTCAAACAGAGATGAACTACTCACTTGCGGAGGTGTCATATGGAAGCTTAGATTCGTACGTTAGCATAGACAGTGGAGAAGCATAAGTGACTCTGACCGTATAGTAGTATCACCCCAGATGACAGGATGGAATGCAGGTACTTTCAATAGGTCAGGGAATAGGACGATAGGGCGGGGGACTAGTCATAGCTCATTCAAATGACATGGTGGTGTCAACTTTTTCTTATCTGTCTCCTGCTTCTGCTTCTGCTTCCCGAGTATTTCATTCACGTTTATGAACTTGAAGTCCAAGTCTGTCAGCTGAGCTCGAAGTCTAATCTGGTCCTGATCAGAGCAGGCGAATGAATGCACCAATCATAGTATAACAGGAACATCTGGTTCCCCTAAGCATACTAGTACTAGGTAGCATACGCGCCATTTCACGTCGCACGCTACAAAAGCATCTGCAATAGATATCTTAGGGCTACAACGCTCCCCGCGCAGCGTCAACTACGTAAGAAGCAATCCACAACACTCCAACTCCAGCTCCAACTCTCCGCACCCAATGCCAGTCCCCAAGAAGCCCACAGCTGTCGACAGCTTCCTCCGAACCCAACACCCACAGCGCAATCCCATTACCCCATCGAAATGACATCCACCGAGTCTATACACCCGTAACCCCAAACTTCACCATCTGTCACTCTTCAACCCAAAGCAACAAATCACCAACCGAAGCCTCCCCTCCCCACTACACTATCACAACCACCCAGCCAACCCACAGGCAAAGACACAGAACCACAACACAGTCCCATTGTCCCAAGTCTCCTCGCAAAAGCCCACCACAAACACCCTCCAAAACTCCCTATTCATGACATCCTCAATCCTCACCGACAAAGACATACTAACGACGCCACGCCCCTCCAACACTACGTATATCTCCCTCGCAAACAACAACAGCATGACCAAACCCCACCCTATCTGAAGAGACGGTGAAGCGCCAAATCCCCTCGATCACCCAAATACCCCATCCCAAACCCATCAACAATCCCATCCCAACCACCTGATACGTAAAATCCGAGTAATCCAGAGTTTTGTGGCGTAGGGCTAGAAGGGTCCGGACCTTCGACGTCCCACCAACTTACCGCGCGGAAAGGTCACATGTACAACAGAAAAAAAAAAACTCCCTAGTAGCTTTATTGCCTGCCCCCATGACAGGGTGATAATCAATAATTGAAACTTTTTTTCTAGTTAATGTTATTGTTATGGATTAGTAGTTTTATAACTACCTAGCAGTTATAAAAGCCGAGGGGTCTGCCACCCACCGTCCGTGGGTTTCAGGTTCGAATTCAGATTGTTTCCTTGCAGGGTCTCTCCGGGTACGGAAGACCATTGGGTTGATCAGTCCCGGTCCTTGGTTGGTCCCTAGGTTGGGGCATCTACCTAGGTACTCAACAGGCTACAAGGACTAATGATCATGGATCTCACTTACAACAGTTGTTGACTGCCTGCAAGCACAAAAAGACTTTGAAGATTTTTTTTCGATTTGATTGTCTATATCCGACTATCATCACCAAGGGTATCGTATCGATCGGTCTCATCTATGTACAGTCTTTTTTTTCTTTTGTTTTTGTTTGGGGGTCGTAACTTTGTTTTTGTTTTCCCCTTCGCTTGATGAAGAAGGGGGTTTATGGTGGTGGTGGTGGTGGTGGTCAGTCCAACTGAATTCTAGTCTTTTTGGGATTATTCCCAGACGGATTCAAGGTCATATGCAAGATGGCTGAATAATCAAGTGGCGGGATGCGGTCAGCGGGAAAAACGCTCTGATCAACGCTAATCATGAATCGGAAAATATGGTGCTGGCATGATGGGTGGTGATATGAATGATAGATGATTTAAACTCGGAAGCAGGAAGCAGGAAGCAAAGGTAAGAGTGATGGCGGCTCATACTTAGTGTGCGTGGCCGGTGGTGGTATTGGTGGTGGTGGTGGCGTCCTCGACACAACTCTGGCTACCACGGAAGGATTTGCGACCACGGGCGAACCAGTCAACGAGGATGATGAAGATGATGACGCCGTAGACGGCGGACACATAGTTCATATCTGTGGGGAGGATTGGTTAGTGGGTTGTTTGGTGAATTGATGGATGGTTGGGGGATGAGAGGTAACTTACTTCCAGTGTTAACCGGCATGGTGGCAGGGAAGGAGTACATGACCAGACAGAACAGGGTCCACGCCAAGGTGATGTAGTTGGCAGCCAACCCCCACTTGCCTAACCAGAAAGGACCGTGCTTGATGTTGTCGCGACCGCGGTACAGCATGCAGATCACAGGCACCGAGTACGAGATGTACAGCAGCGCGATACAGGCGGTGACCATACTGTTGAACGCGGTGGAGGAGCCAAGGTAGAGCAGACCCAACAGGGCGACAATCAGCGAGCTCGCAAAGTGCGACCACATGGGCACGTCCAGCTTCACGCTGACGGTCGACAGCCACTGGTGGCAGGGCACGCCACGATCGCGCGCGAACGCCCACGCCAGCCGCGACTGCCAGGTGTGGCAGGCAATGAGGCACCCCATACCCGTGACGATCAGGAGGGTCTCCAGCACAATGGCGCCCGCCTTGTTGCTCAACGCCTGGTAATACAACTCCAAAATGGGGACGCCCGTGGACGAGTTGAGCAGCGCGTCCAGGTCCTGGATGCTGAAGAACATGGCCACGCAGTAGAACCACGAGGTCACAAAACCGATGCCCACCGTGGCCATGATGGCGATCGGGATGTTGCGTTCCGGCTGCGGCACTTCCTCCGCCAGGTGCGTCGCCGAGTCCAGACACGCGAAGATCCAGTTGGGGTTGATCAAGCCGACAATGAACGCGATCCCGTCCGACTTCCAACCGGTTGAGTTGACGAAGTGACCAAAAACGAACGAGGCGCTGGCGTGGGGTTTGGCGCACGCGGGTACGGTCACCAAAATCACGAAGAACGAGAGCAGCGAGATGTACAGCGTGGCCTTGGCGATCGCAGGGAGAAATTTACCCCAGCAGTTGAACAGGTAACAGAAGAGGTTGATGAGCTCGTACGCTACAACGGTGTGCCAAGGTTTGGGAACACTATCATCGAGGTCAGCACTACAAAGAGGGCAACCGGTTGGGGGAGACAAGCATACAATGAGGGATGGCCCAGCTCCCACATGCCCACCACACCAGATCCCAGACTGAGGGCCACACTGGCACTCGCAAAGATGGCACCCGCATAGCCGAACCAGCCGGTCACGTAGGATGCGAAACGAGCGTACTTCTTAGGAGCCAGTTGATCGGCCCAGAAGTATTGCCCACCCGCGTTGGGCATGGCACTGGCCAATTCCGAGAGGGAGGCTCCCACACAGGACGAGATGAAGGTGATCCACAACAGGCCGTAAATGATGATGACCGTGCCTCCAGAACTGATACCCGTAATCAAAGATGCAGAGATACCGAACCACGAGTTGGACATGCAGAAGGCAATTCCGACCAGGGAGAGCACCGAGAAATTGCGCTGCAAGTCCTGAGTGTAGCCCATCTCGGCCAGCTTAAGAGCGTCCGCATCTTCGGATCCGGATGCAGACTCGCTCCTAGGCATCACCTGCCCGGTGCTGGGCTTCTTCTCTAAATCGAGGTCGCTCATTGTACCAGACACTTGAAGCTATTGGGGTCAGCGTAGAATATATCAGGCACGTGATGTTGTCGCAAAGGGCAATCGCTCGAGGGGTCGGTCAATGGTTGCCGTAGCCGCAAGATGATCGCGTGGGAATGATGTTTGTCCTAAAAGGAGGCTTCGATGAAGATTCAGTTCTTCCAAAACCACTGTTGCATGGGGCTTGTGAATTTCCGATAAGATCTCGGCCGAGGAAATTGCTGCGGGTGGCAAAGATTCCGTTCCTTCAAAACAGTCGCAGATGGGTTGTCGATACCGGGGAGGCGAGACCGTGGCAAGGGCTGATGAATTGGATCTGTCGCAGACGGATTGATTGCTTGGTAGGGCTCTGGCTGATGATACGGCGATACAACAAGGGAAGTTTTACAGAATTCAATCTGCGTTTTGGGTTGCGTGGTTCTCTCAAGCTATCAACAACAAAAGCGGAATGGTGGTGGTGGAGGAGAAGTAGAGAGCCAAGCCAGCGTGGAGTATCAATGCCCAGACCGTTGCTGCATAGGAAAGGGTATTTGCAGGAAGAGGAATCCAGACGAGGTTTAAGAGTAGGGATAACGGAGGACGGGATCACAGGGAGGAAAAGGATAAGGATGAGAGGAGGGTTAAAGGTAAATAAAAAAGAATGGTCAAGGTATGAAGGCCGACGAAAGCCGTCAGGATATGGGATACAGTTGAGTATTTAAGATCCTTGGGCGAATTTATTTTTTTTTCCTGTTTTTTTACTCTATTTTTCCCTCTTTACGACCCTTCTTAGGTTGGCTCTTTGCATGGGTTGTTGCGAGTCTGACGGAGGCTCCACCAGTTTCAATCGATGGGCGAAAGAAGGTACCCCATGCTCTCGTGCCCTCCTTGTCTGCCAATTTCTACGGGGGAGAACCTATCCTGGATTCGATTATCCGGTTGGGATTCTGCGGGTTCATCTCGACTCTATCCACTTTAATTCGCTTCTGGACGTTCTCTTTTCCTCCCCTTCGTCATAGGGAGGGTCTGAATGGGTTGCACGTAGGTTTGGTCGACCATAGAAAAAGTCCCTCAAGTAACACTCGGCCTGAAAGGTACAGCCAACTACGTAGGGTGCTCGGAAGAACTTCTGTGGCGGTGATTCTTCGATTCCGGTGGACAAGGGCTTCCTGGTCCTAGGATGGATTATTGATTGCCTGGGAAGTCCCCAGAGATGGCTGAGCGTTGTCGTTGGCCGCGTGCAGATACAAAGAGTGGCGGCCTTCTCCACTTGGTCAGTTTTGGTGCCGACGACAGAATTTTAACTTGCCCACACCGGGTTTAGCCCGCTTATACCGTGCAGACGGTGCAAGTGCGTGTGAAGTTTCCGCTTTGCCCTATTTTCTTATGCTTCTTGGACTGTCGTCATACCGCAGATGCAGTCAGGATGCAATGCACGTTCGGCCCCAACAATATCAGATGCTGATTATCGCACTATCACTGCCTAATCCTGTTGGTGCATTGGTGCCAAAACCGGCCCGAGTAAGAGAGGGAAAAAAAAATCTCTTAACCTCCAGCAGATATGCCGATCGCTGATAACCAGATGCTCTTGCCTTGGGCCATCCATCTATTGTATCACATGACCTTCTTATAGACATGCTACACCACAACCCCTTCTTCCAACAACGTCATCCTCCGCATCTACCAGCGGGAACAGGCAGCCCTCAGACTCAGAGTAGGCAGAGCAGCCGCACTACGACGTTTTGAGCGACTGAGACAGGAATTTACCGGTCTTTCTGATCTGAACCATCTCCAGCTTTTTTTCTGCTTCAGTGATCCTCGTTGGTCAGCCCGATGGAACTTAGCCTAGTTGGACACCCGCACGGTGGATCTCATTTCACCATCCGCTTTTCATTCGCACACGAAACTCGGAAAGGGTGAGATGCTAAGAAAACCACTTGACTAACGCTTTTTCACCGGTCCGCCTTTCGGAATCGAGGCATTGTTATCTGTCGGTCTGGTTTGGTTTTGCCTACAATAACGATTGCCCTTCGCGGTCAGGGCAGATTGATTTGGAGTGACATCCAAAAAAGATGGTCACTTCCTGCCGGAGGACTTCTTTGCCATGTATGGATATGGACAGCAGAAGGCGAGATCTCGAATCGATATCAACACCCGGAACCTCCCCGCGCGCCCCAAGGGCAACCTTAGTCCCGTGTCGTCGTTCCTTAGTCCCTAACCAACCTGCTTGAGACAGCAATCATCTTTGCCCGTCTCGTCTCTCGCAAAAACAGTAAAATCGACTGAACTAGTTCTCTCAGGGGTTCCGCTGTCCCTGCGTGGAAAAATCGCTAGCCGATCATGGTTGTTCGAAGCATCGGTGCACATCCAGGCGCCATTTAGTGCTGTTTCAACTTTTTCTCTCTCACTCTCACCGCGGTTGCTACTGACGTATGTCCTTTTCTTCAGGACGGTCGAAGACGTTCTACGAGTTGGCTTACTCAATTCACCACATAGCAAAAAGAGTAATAAAATCCTAGTATGTCCCCTTCCCGCGCCGTGCACGAGAAATCTTCTCAATGGAATTTCCGCCTCCCCCCCCGGCCCGCGCCCCCAAACCTCAAACGAAACTCATGGCTTGACCTAGCATCACCCTGGCGCGTTTTAGCATCCCGCCACAAAGAAGACAAAAAAGCCGGGGCCGTAGGATATCCATTCCCCTCCTGGGGTATAGCGCAGAGATAAGCCAATTAGACATGGAGGGCTTGTCGTCTTCTGCCGGATGGAGTAAGGACGAATGCGTAGTAAGTTGGGTTAATGCCTAATGGGCCTTATTATGAATGGAGCCTTAGGTTGTCTTTGAGGGCACACTCCGTGAGAGTCCTTAGTTTAGCAGACAGTGGACATTTTTACTCGTTTTGGGGAAGGTTTGCCGGTTTAGTAGGGGAAGGAGGTATTCGCGGCTTCGCTTCGGGAGGCCTCTCGGGAGTCACCGTCTTTTTCCCAGTCGACTTTTTTTTGAAGGCATCCACAGCTAGACTACCATGGGATGGAGTCCGAGTATGCGGTGTATGACAGCCCTTTTTCCGGCAAAACTCATATACTCACTCGTACGTACGTACGTCGCTTGCAGAGAGGATTGGGGGATCCGCTGTGCGAAACCTCGGAGCTCAGGTGGTTGTTCAAAACGAATCGGCTTGCGTAGGCTTTCCTTCGCATGGGGATTGAATGTCAATCCTTGTGCTAGTCCTGCGGACTAGCGATAACATCCGATTGAGCCAAAGTCTGGGGCGTATCAGTTCCAGCTGTGGCACTTTTGGCCGTTGAAGGCCCCGGCACCTATAGTATGTATGACATTGACATTGACATCTGATAGTCTGATAGTCTATCTGATTAACAGTTGAAACGGGGTTGGCTAGATCCCTGATCGCTCGTCCGCGCGGGGGGGGGTTACAACGGGCGATCAAGCACTTCTCATTCGTTGTCGGGTTTCGACCAGGATGCTTTGTCTCCTTTGGATCGTAAGATTCTGGTGGATTATTGGTTGCATGATGGTGCTTATCGACGAAGCTTATCTTGCGATGGCGACATTGACAGGGGAGGGTGAGGGGAACCGCGTGCGGAGTAGATTGTTATCTTCTGCGGGAGGGGGGGAGGGAGCAAGGTGCGTGTGAATAGATTGTTCCTGGACATGCATGAAGAGTTTGGCAGGTTGTTGGCGTCTTTTTGCCTTCTTTGGGCTGCAGAGGCTGGGTTTTGTGACTGGATATGGATGGGTTGTCCTGGTGGGCGGATGGTGGCTTGGTGACTGCTGCGGGTGTAGTGCTTGTTCCATTAGCAGGTTACACATTGAGGTATGGACCTTGTGGGCTTGCCACTTTTTCTCAGATAAGGTATGATGCCTGTGTGATAGATTTGAAGCTTGCTGGTAGGACTTTTGTGGTGTTTCCTGCAACTGTTCATTGCTCGGAGCACATAATATATGTAGGTTGCGAGTCTTGAGTCCGCATTCGGCAGAAATATATAACTCCGAGTCCTCAACGGAGACACCTCCTCTCTACTACTCCCGTCGTTGTTGAACACAATCTCAAACGATGTAATGGACGAGCATTTGCTACGTTTGGTGGCGTACACGAACGAGTTTGGACTTACCTTAATCTTCATGAAATGGATAGCGTGATTCATGTAGCACAATAAGATAGGCAAGATGGGCTACACCTCCGACAGATAAGCAGACGGCGGCTGGCTTGTGGGTTGCCCGACGCGACAAGTTACTTGTTAACAACATCATCTAAACCTCGAAACAGAATGGCTGAATCATCGAGCAATTGTGAATCATATCAAGAAAACACAGCCAACAGCTACAAAATACGCAGGGTCTTTTTGCTCCCTCTGACTCTGAGGTCATTGTGCACCTTGATCGACACTCTGCATCACACTGTCAGGGATCCCCAAGCGCGGGTAGCCGGCAACTAGTCAGGCACTCCCGACGCGGTCCGATCTTCCCATCCTTCATTGTTCCATGTTTCTGACGCGACGCGACGCGACACGAAACCCCCTCGCTCATCAATCCAGCACCTGTTTCATGCCTGGTCTCACCGTCAACATGAATCGATCCCTCTACCAGTCCTGCGTTTGCATCTGATGCCCGACACACACATTAGGAGTGCCAAACATCCCTGATGATCCCGACACCAGCCTCATCGGCTTCTAGAATGACACCGAACGCGATTAGCTCGCTGTAGCAACGCCACATCTTTGTTGACTGCTCCAGCAACCATAGGGTCGCATGCTCAAATGCATTGTGGCTTGACTGTACATCCCACATTTAGAATGCCTGAGACAGGTCTCGCCCCGGTCATGGACCGCCCTTGAGTGGGATGGTTGTTCTGTTCTCCCCTGGCTGGAAGTAAGCTTGGGCACACGGATACATGCACATAGCCGGTTTCTTGTTACAATGCAACCTGCAAAGTGTGCAGCTGACAATGCCCATCGGCAACATGATGCCTGATGATTGGGGATCTAGTAGCCTCTGAAACGTCGAATATCTCCGACCGTGCAGATGATGTGTCTTCTTGCCACCGCAACACAAGGAAAGGACTTGCGACTGTCGAGTGCCCGGGAAACCGATCCTTCCTCTGTAACGAGGGTCGGAGAATCCGAGAAAGGGTAAACTCACCCTCAATGCCGACCGAGCAATGCCGTTTGTCTGTTCGCTGTGGAGTAGTCCGTGCCCCAGATCATGTCTTACCTCTTGGCTTTTACTCGTGATGTGTGTCGATATCGCCAATGGCAAGATCTGGCTGGCTTTGCTCTACTGCCTTGAGTTGGAACTTGTAACGCCTATGTGCGGCGAATCTCAGCTTTCCATAACGGAAACACCTTGGCAGTTCATGGTCCATCCAAGTCGGTCACTTCTGATTCTGGTTGGCAGTTCATGGCCCGACCTTAATCTCCGCCATCCTTACAAGTTCGGGATTTTCACCGTTCTTTCGTCCGTCTAATTTGCCCCCCAGGCAGACAGATGGGCAAGAGATCACTATTTAGCCAGGATGAGAGAGGCCCTGGATTCCTAGCAACCGATCGGCGTGGTATCCCAACATTCCAACCACCCTACCGCATAGGGATCGATCGACAGGGACCACAACACGTTACTGCTCGGGAAACGGAATGCTTTACCCAGTTTGAGTCTCTCTTCACTGTTGTCCTCGATACCGAGTCGTATCAAGTCACTTCCTGTAGCCACCTGGGTGGCGCGAGAAGCCTCGAAGCCAACCACTGTAACGGTATGCAAGGGATATTTCCTCTCCTCAGGACAGAACCTCTAAAGTGAAACATGATGTCAATGACTTTCCAGGCCGTTGGGCCCTCTGGATCTGCTGGTGGTGTGGCGGCGACGTGCTTTGTCATTGTTTTGTTGTTGTCGCTGCCTCTTTTATACTAAGCTTTGGCTGTCCACCGTCGGAATCGCTGACTGCACGACCACGGAACAACCTCAACGACACCCATACTAACCACGATCACTCAGCTTCTGCCATTGATGGGCGCGACGTCCGATCCTTAGCTCCCGGTGACGCACTCAGTCGATACCACTCTCCTCTTACCTCAACCTACGCCTTCGCGCTTTCGACCCACCACTTACACTGAATAACCAGCGGATGATGCACCAAAAGATGAAACTCGATGTTGCTATAGTGACTTGTTTGGCATTAATCACCGATGTTGCGAACGCTTTCTGGCGTCTGCCTTGTCGCGGACGAAGTGGTGTGGCTCGGATTGATCCCATAATGGCCCCAGGGATCCCATCGGATCATGTACACGCGGTTCATGGATCGGGCGGTCAGTTCTCTTGCATCATCTGTAGCTCATCAGCATGGTCGCTGAGTTTTTCCCGATAGGATTCTCGATGTCCGCCAACGAGGCAAGTCTGAAGCAGTCGAGCTGTACTTCTTGCGCAGTGACCCAAGACAAGTCAGCATACTGGGCGCCCGCGTTGTATTTCGTGCATCAAAATGGCGATGCTGAGCTTGTCAACGAAGTCGGCGGCATGCTTGCGTTAGTGGCCCAGCTTGCGATTGTTGTCCATTTGTGTTGGTGCTGACGAAAACAGCTATTACCTTCTCAATGGCGAAAATGTGAAGGCGTTCCCTGAAAACTTACGCATGATGGCAGGAGATACATACCTGCGCGACTTCCCCTGGCCAATACCGGATCCCCCGCAGTCAGAGTGGTCTGGAGATGATCTAAAACAGGAGGCTCTTCGCCAGAAAGCTGTCGGATTCAACTGTCTGAATTACCAAAAGGACCCCGAACCCTCCTTGGCACGTCATTTCTTGCCAAACAAGACATATTTGGATGAGCACTGCACTGAAGGCGTTCGGTTTGAATTGATGTTTCCATCCTGCTGGAATGGGAAGGATATCGACACACCGGATCACAAGTCCCACCTGGCCTATCCGTCTCTGGTGATGGACGGAGAATGCCCAAAGGGCTTCGAGCATCGTCTCGTTTCGCTCTTCTATGAAAGTATCTGGGATACATACGCGTTCAAAAGCAAAAAAGGCAATTTTGTGCTCGCGAATGGAGACCCCACGGGATACGGCTACCACGGTGATTTCATGTATGGCTGGGACTCACAGGTGCTCCAGCAGGCAGTAGATACATGCACAAACATGTCTGGAGAAGTGACGGAGTGCCCCGTTTTTACGCTTCAAAGTGACGAGAAACAGGATGAGTGCCGGTTCTCCGTTCCGGATGCTCTGAAGAATGAAGACGTGAACTACCACAAAGGTGGTCTCCCGAACAATATCGCCATTCAAAGCGGACCTGCCTATGCTAGCCCAGTCAGATACACCACCGCCACCAGCACCACCACCACCACCACCACCGGCGCTGGTGGCCACGGGAGACCAACGCCCATCTACCTGGATGATCTACCCACTGTTGGAGTCGGTATTGATCTTGGGTTCTTGTCCGCCGGTCTGCATGTGGCCCTGCCTACATTAACCACTTCATCCACGACCACGACGGCGAAGGCCTGGGAGCCGACTGCTCCCCCGGTTGCAGAGGGTCCTCCTGCCCGTCCGATCACCTCCTCAAAAACCAGCGCACACACGACTTTTGCTGCACCGTTCATCGCGGCTACTCCAGTGACTTCAGTCGCGCAACTTTCAATCCCAAGTGCGTCGGTCGTATCGGATGTCTCCAGTGTAACTATCAAACCGTCACTCTCGGCTTCCTCGTCGGCCTCGTCTGTGCTTTCGACTATGGCGACAAAGTCATCGGTCCTGCTTGCATCTGTTCCAGCTTCGTCGTCGGCGGTGTTGGCCAAACCGGTAGTTGCGCCTCCCGCAGTCTCGACTGGTCTAACGCCAACAATTCCTCAACCTTCACTTGCTGTGTCTTCAATGTTGACCTCGTCATCCATCGACGCAACATCCTCCTTGATTCCCTCGGCTCCAGGGACATCCTCACATTTGTTCGCGGTGTCATCTCCGGCTCTGGCCTCTTCATCTGCCGCCGTCCAGTCTTCGGTCTTGATTCCTCCGGCATCCAATCAAGCCCCTATTGTGGTCACCATTTCGTCGACGTCTTTGGTTTCTCCCACGCCAGCGTCTTCCATTGCCACTCCGAGATCCTCAGTGATGGGCGTTCCTTTCTCATTCGCTGCCTCCGGTGTAGCCTCATCATCGGCACCTCTTTTCAACACAGCGAATACAACCGTGCCAACCACTCAGGCCATCATATCTGCAGCAGCACCTATCGCTTCTCCGACCTCGCCGGCTACGGACAGCATGGCGACACCTTCGACATCGGCCAAATCTTCAGCCACGAGCACCCCACTGATCAAGACTGCCTTGCCGGTGCCCAGCACCCTGGCTGTAGCAGCCAAACCTCCCGTGTTGACCACTCCTTCGTCCACGAGCGCCCCATTGATCAAGACGGCTACTCAAATGTCGAGCGCCTCTGAAATCGCCCCTAAGCCAAGCGTGATCGTGATCGCTTCTACCAACAGTTCACTCGCCAAGCCCCAGCCCCCCCCAACAGGATCCAGTACCTTTGCGGTAGTCGCGAAGCCCGCGGTGACGACGACTTCGTCAGCGACCAGTGTTCCACTAATCAAGTCCACCCTCTCCAGCACAACCCCAACAGCCAAGCCGAACGTGGCCACTCATACGACCAGTACGGCATTGATCAAAACCACCGTTTCAGCATCGAGCACGCTTGCCATGATCCCCAGGCCTGCCGTCTCTCCGCAAACAGAACCCTCCAGCTCGTGGGAAGATTCCTTTGCAAGCGCTGACTGGGAAGTCATCACGACGTGGTCGCCGCCGTCGAGCACTCTCTCATCTGCCGAACCGGCGTCGTTCACAACAATCGTCTACGTCGAACAAGCAATTATTGTCCTTGTGGATGATCAGGGCGTCCCGATCGAGACGCAGACGGGCTCTTTGGAAACCGTCTCGAAGACCACGACCACTTCGAGTGGCGGCGCTACATCCAGCCGACCCCCGTCGAAGCGCGGTTGGTATCATAACCATGCCCACAAGCATTACCGCCACGGACACTCCCATTAATTGGAGTTGTCCGCCATTCCGGGGGGCTCTTGTGACTTTGTTTTCTTTCCGGATATACTTATTTGCTCCTCTCTTCAAATGTCTCTGCGATGGTCCCGGCACCGTCGCATTTACGATGTATATGTTAGATACCTTAGCTTCCTATCCTCGAAGGATGGATTTGACTAGAACTGTCGCTGACTCTGGAAGAAACGCGAAGTTGAATTCTGTGGAATATATTGAAAGAATAAAAGCTTACTGGAGGATTCCAGTCGCAGCTATGTTATCTGCTGCGAAGACTTTGTCAATTGTCAATGTATTATTTTTGCCTCGAGTTGTAACAGCTAAGTCTCAACCTACAGGGACAATTCCTCAAATAACGTAAAACTACGGACTCATCTGACCACTCGAACCTGCGCCGCTTATGATCCCTCCTAAGCAACCCCCTGTCGCTCTAGCTCTTCTTCAACGGTAAGTATAAGATTATGCCTTCGAAGCAAGCCCCATAGAGAGGCAGGTATTCTGACGAGAGCCTTTCCTAGTGATTTGCCCCGTGCAGGCTAGAGCTGTTAGTCCTAACAGGCCAGCCAGATGAGAGTCGGTCGTTGGATGTGGCTTACATTGGGTGAGAGACCGGCATAGTAAAAGTTGTTGCCATAAAACCTGTTACCACCATCCATGCGACGCAGATATGTCCAGACCGCCTTGACGGTAGACTCAGTCAGGTGGTCGTTGGCCCCTCGGAGTTCCAGAGCTTGGGGTTTGTCCAGATGCAGGTGCGCGTACCGGCGCAACGCGTCGTCGTGCTGTTGCTCGATGGCAACATTCCAGATATTACAGAGCTGCTGAGCCTCTGCCTGTGAGTCGATGAGGCTTCTTCTGCTCGCGGAGACCGGAGCACGGCGGAAATTGTAGCCATATTGGAACACTCCTTTCCCCAGCGTAGTCTCCGGCAAACGTACTCCCTCGAGGAACAGCTTGTTCGCGTACCTCGGGTAGAACAGAATGTCTCCGTAGTCAGTCGTGATGGTGTTCCACGAGTCTGTCACGCCTCGGATATCAAAGGCCATGCCCATCCATAGTGCGAAAGTGAGCCTGGTGACATAGTTCGTGTCCCGATCCAGAAAAATGGCAACATCCTTCGACTCACGAGCTTGCATCACTAACAGGGGCTTGGCCTCTTGCTCCCGCTGGCTCCCGACCAGGGTGTCCTGATCCCTGTATCCGGTTTCACACAGGAGCGGCGAATCCGCCTGTTGCGGCGGGAAAAGCCAAAAGCGACCCCAGGCGATGATCGACACCTGATGCCCGTCTCTGTTCAGGTACAGAGCAGCCAGCTTCAGCCGCGGGTTCCGGAAGGTGAAGAGGTCCTCGTTCGTCACATCGGGAGCACGGGCTTTGACTTTGGCTTCAGCTGTATTGGTTGAGAGCAAATGAGCATCCGCGGCGACCAGCGAGACGCGCCCAGTCTTTTTGGAGAACTCGATAAATCCCAGATACCCGGAAACCTCTCGAGCAGTTGCGGTCACGAAGATCGAGTCGGCTGTCTCCCGGTGGGTTTGAATGAATCCACCATCCAGGCCGAAGGATTCGGCGATTGCATCCTTCCTGAGAAAGTCACAGCTCGTCAGAATACCTACGGTGCGGTGGTTGCCGTGATTGGCCTAGCATAGGGAGGAAAACCAACCAGAATAGGTACAGCTCACGAAATGCATCGCCATCAGTCCATCCTCGGATCTCTCGCTCATCAAGAGTCCATTGCATGGCTGAGATACGGTTCCTAGCAGTCGCGGACCTGTTCATGGTCATAGCAGGGCGTGATGATCAGAGAGCCCGAATACCAGAGTGAATGAAGGAATAATGAGAAGAGCTACTACTTCTTGGATCGAAAGAAGTCCGAAAGATAAAGAGAAGTATGGACGGAGAAGATAACAATATGGACGGCTGTGAAGATCGAGAAAGATGGGAAGTGGAAGATCAACAGTTCCTCAGGAAGCCAGGTTAGAGGCGAGAGAGTAGGGCGAAGAGAACAGTAGCTCTTGATAGATCAGGAAACCGCGTCCAGACGCACTTGACGTACCAAACTACAAACCGGCGATCGTCCTTACTGATTTTATTCAGACTGCAAGGCCCTGACACTCAGTTCATCTATCCAGGACTCCAATTAGGATAGAAATAAATGCTATTCACCGCTCCACTCGCGTTTTCTCTAACATCGCATGTACACTGTTGCGCCCACCCCCTCCCCTTTCCTTCCTCGCCACTAATCCGACCAACAATTCACCGACAGACCCCCGTAGCAGCCCCCTCATTTTGCTGGAGAACATGATAAGCAAGTCAGCCAGTCTTTCACCAAACACGCTGTGCTGTACAACCTCGCAGACACAGACTCATCGAGGACGGAAGGAAAAGAAGACTCACCATGCAGAAATTACTCTGGCAGAGCCCCATACTCCCGTCCTTGTTGCAGGTTGCGCCGTTGGGTAGCTGTATCGACATTAGCTTCCCTGTATATGATATGATTGGGGATGGGGGTGATGCTTCGTATCCCGGTGGACAATGGGATGAACAGGCCCGGGGGGTGTGGTTCCAGACTCCGAAGGAAAGGAAAGGGAAGGATAGGGACTGGGGATTGGGGAAACGTACGATATTCACTCGGGCGGCTAGCGGCTTCTCCTTCTCCATTGCTGCGATGGTGGGGGATGCCACGGTTGCTCCGAGGAGGGTGAGGAGGGTGAGGAGGAGGAGGGTTAAGATGTACATGTTTTTCGTTCTGGTGGATTCGGGTTTGTTGGAGACGGTAAGGTGGTATATTGGATGGATGTGTTTTCTGGTGAGGATTGAATGGGTAGGTAAGTAGATGGGCGATTGGGATTGGGTGAGGGCGAGGGGGAGGGTGTTGGGGGTTTTTATAGCTGCTGCTGCTGCTGCTGCTGCTTGAGGAGACTACTGGTCGATGGTTGGGGAGGGGGGTTGCTTTTTTCTTGTGTAGTTCTTCTGGACCTGGATATGGGGTGGTTTCAGGTCCGGGGTTGTGTTCTCATACGTATATCATGTAAGTTAGTTTTCTTTTTTTGATTCCTTCTGGGGGTAGAGTAGGGTAGGGTGGTGAGCTCGTCTCTGGGATGCAGTACAAGCTATCCATGATGCTGGTTGTGGGATCTGGATCGACGGTTGATCTGGGGGTTTAACTGCGTGACCTACAGCGCTAACGCTGGATTTTGCTTTTGCCGAGTCACGGACTATTGTCTTCTAGACTGGGTTGAACGGGTACCTGCTGGATAGGAAATGCTGGGCAGGCTGGTTCTGAATCTGCAGAGATTAAGGGGAGAATCAATGGGTTATAATGAAGTTAGGTAGGGGAGGCTTAGGTGGGATCAGAATTGCGAGACTGTACGGAGTAATCAAGTTTGAACTTGGGTGGGATCATGGTTTCCCTAGTTGTTTGTGGTGGTTCTTGTGGCTGTTAACACATTACTGGGAGTAGTACAGTGCAGTGCAGTGCACGATCTGAGACCGATCTTGAGATTCAGACTGGGTGGTTTAGGGTTGGGGTTGGGGTTGGGGATGTGATGGTATACTTACCATTAGACGCTCTAACAAACTTACTCAACTAATCGCCCTTAATATTCGACGTACGTTCAATGAACAAAGATTCTCTCAAGACACTTACTTTTTCACATGAAGTTGAACAAAAGTGCTGGGATGAGGTCCAGATTGTTAGTATGCGTTGCATGGCTCGATGAGCTTATCGCGGGTGATACACCTGGTTTATCTACACATTGAGCACAGGGGGGGAGGGGGTTGACTCTACTATACATACAATCTCCACGATTCATAGTCGAGTCTAACTATCAATATATGATTATATCCACAGCATGTTGAAGTTATTTACCTGCTTGCCCAGCATAATCAAGAGTGATACTCCTATATCTTAATGTGGATTGGTACAGCTGTAGTGACTTAGGCAAGCTAGGTCTCTCTCTCTCTCTCTCTAGGAGGTATTGTGAGGTGTGTGACTGTACGTGATCGGCCCTGGGTGTTTTACCGAGGAGTTCAATTTGGAATAATACGAATTGCTGAAAGATGTGTGATCAGTTTGATATAAGTGGATGTACCAGTCCAACATGTCCGACCTCTATCTACTATGCAGTGTCCACTGCTGGTTAGCTTATCTCGCCCTAGAACGGTCGACTGAGCGTAAGCGACAGCGACAGTTGGAGCAATCCAGACTTCCCCGAAGTCCCCCACACCGGAACGTCCGGCAAGCCAGAAAGAACCCGGCCTCGATTCTCAACCCCGACCAAAACCAGCCAAACAAAACCAACCCCTAAATATCGTTTCCACATGGTTCACTGATAATAACATGGCAACATGCTGACCCACGGGGCAAACAACCCGGGGTACTGCATAACTTCTATGGAACACAAGAAATACTAAGGGGAAACAAAAACTCGTAGTACTACACCTGACGTGTAGCAGCCAAGCCAATTCTGCCCCCGGATTCGTCGGATAAGACCAGCAGAAATCAGGATTGCGATCCCAACCCTATCTACACTCTCCCCACGAGTCACATCCTACCCCCAGCAAGCACTGCACGGACATAACTTATCTGGTCCATTCAACGGTCTTCATGAAGGGCTGCTGTCAGGATCCCTCCCTGTGGGTCTGGGTCCTCGAACCAAGGTCTAGGTTTATCGTGGCCTGCTTATCAAGCACGGCGATAACGTCTGCTCTATATAGACCCAACGGTCTTCGTCCTCGCGCCCGTGCTTGGGTAATTGAATCATTATCCCCTTTAGTTTTTGCTCAGTTCTTGATTCATACTCCGGACATTGGCGACTGATTGCGAGACATCGGTCGGGATCATCATGGCATACTCCAACCTCCAAAAGTCGCCTCCGCTCGACTTGTCGCATCATCTCTCGGCGGTGACCAAGAGACGCGAGAACAGTCTGGTGAAGAGCCTGTACAAGTACATGATTCGACCCAATGTCGATAATATGGCGGGTGGTGAGTGAGCATTGTTCTCGATCCTCTTGCGTGATCCCAGCATCACCACGTCTTCCCCTCACTTACCGCGCACGACATCAGGCTTGCCAAATGCGTCATACTTCCCCTACGAAACCCTCGAGGCCACGGTCGCCCACCCCCAGCGATTCGCGGTGACAACAACCACAGGAAACGGAGACGCGCGGGCCACGGACCGCATGGTCGTCCCCAAAGAAACCCCCCAGGCCAACACGCTCCACAAGATCGATGTCGCCACGGCCCTGCAGTATGGCACCGCCGAGGGGCTGCCGGCGCTGGCCACGTTTGTGCGGGAGTTCGCCCGCGAGCATCTCCACCCCAATGTCCCCTACGCGGGCGGACCGGCGACCCTGCTCACGACGGGGGCGACCGATGGCCTGTCCAAGGCCGTGGAGGCGTTCACCACCGCGTGGGATCCGCGGCGCGATTGGATCAACCAACGGGAGGGCGTGCTCTGCGAGGAGTTTGTCTTTATGAACGCCATCCAGACCTTCCAGCCACGGGGCGTCAACGTCGCCACCGTCGCCATCGACGCGGAGGGGATGCTCGCGCACGGCAAGGGCGGGTTGGCGGATGTGCTGGAAAACTGGGATTTCAAGAAAGGTCGTCGCCCGCATCTGATGTACACCATCACGTAGGTTTCTCAACCTCCCCCCCCCGGTCCATTCTTCGTTTATCAAGCAACCACGAGCTGACTCGCTGCCCACCTGCCTGCCTGCAGAATCGGCCAAAATCCCACGGGCGGGACTCTGTCCGTGGCCCGCCGGAAGGAGATCTATGCGCTGTGTCAGCGGTACGACATCCTGATCATCGAAGACGACCCGTACTGGAACCTCCAGTACCCGTCCGCGGCGGCCACGGAGGCCCAGTACCGCGGCTCGCCCGCGGCGGTCCACCCAACCCCACCCAACTACAACGCCCACGGCCGGTCCTCCGGGTACGCGTTCCTGGACTCGCTGGTCCCCTCGTATCTGTCGGTGGACACGGACGGCCGCGTCGTGCGGCTGGACACCTTCTCCAAGACGATCGCCCCCGGGTGTCGGCTGGGCTGGATCACCGCCCAGCCGGCCTTCATCGAGCGGCTGACCCGCATCACCGAGACGAGTACCCAGCAGCCGTCCGGGTTCGTGCAGGCCATGGTGGCGGAGTTGATCCTGGGTCAGCAGGTTAATACTGATGGTAAGGGCGATTCTTCAAATCGCAAGAGCAAGGGCAGGGGCGAGCCGCGCGCTTGGCAGATGGATGGCTGGGTGCGGTGGCTGGAAGGGCTGCGCGCGAGCTACGAGCAGCGCATGCGCGACATGTGCACGGTCCTGGAGGAGGGGAAGTATTTGGTCGATACGGACGGCGCAGAAGCAGCCGCAGGCACAGAAGCAAACGCAGAAGCAGGTGCCTGGGAGGTGCTGGATAAGGTGCAGATGTATGACTTTCGGTGGCCCACTGGCGGCATGTTCGTGTGGCTGAAGGTCAGCATCGAGACGCATCCCTTGCTGCAGAGGTACGGGGCCGAGCGCTTGAGCAAGGCGCTCTGGCTGCAGCTTATGGAGAAACCGTACCTGTGTCTGATGAGTCCCGGGTCATTGTTCGCGCCCACCCCGGCGGCGGTCATCCGCTCGCAGCAGTACTTCCGGCTTTGCTTCGCGGCGATGCCCGCGGAGGAGGTCGCCGGCATTACTCGGCGGTTGGTGGACGGGTTCCGGGCTTTCTGGAAGAGGAAGGACTTGGATGGATTGGAGGATGAGGAGGTGATGCTGCAGAGGTTGCAGTTGGAGGGACCGGCGAATATGATAGGGTTGGGGTGTTGAGTGGTTGATGCATTTCTTGGTGATACTACGTACTGTACCCGTGACGACGAGACAAAGTATTCGTAACTATGATTCATAGAAGACCTACCACGTCAAAGACATCCCATCCCATTCAAACCAGCACACCATCTGAAACAAGCTTAAATTCGAACTAGCAAAAAGAGACTAGACAACAAAACAAAAGCGAAAAAGAAAGCGACCCCACTGGGACTCGAACCCAGAACCTTCAGTACCGAAAACTGACGCCCTACCATTGAGCTATAAGGCCTGATTGGGAAAGAGGATCCCATTCACGCGTTATGACCACAAGAAACAAAGCCCAACAGAAACCCTTCCCCTCATCAAATCTCCCCCCCTCACTACCTCCGAAATTACATCCGCATTTTATCGCAAGACTGACCACACCCACCTTACGCATCCCCTTCCACTCCCTTAAACCCCCCTCCCCAAACCCCCTCTCTGACCTCTACAAACCCGAACGAAGATGCCGCTCACAAATCCTGACCTCGCCGAAGAAATCGAAGCCATCAACGCGATCTACGACCCAGACACCCTCACAATCTCCAGCACGGCCACGCCCCCCTCCGCCCTCGATCTGGGTAGCAGCAGCACCACCACCAGCAGCGAACCCACACAAACAACCCTCAAACTCCAAATCCCCAACCACCCACACCTCTCCTTTCTCCTCGGCTTCCCCGCAACCTACCCGGACACCCCCCCGCTCATCCAAGGCACGGCCTCGACCGCCGCCCGCGGCGAAGGCAAACTCGCCATCGACATCCTCGCCGCCATCCTGTCCCGAGTCCACACCGCCGGCTCGGTATGTCTATTCGATCTGATCTCCGAGGCGGAGACGGCGTTCACGGAGATCGGCGTCGGCGGGGAGAGTACCACCACCACCACCAGCATCACCACCACAACCACCACGGCCACCACCAGTACCGATGACTCAAGCAACAGCAACAGCAACAGCAACAGCCACAACAACGGGACGGGCGCAGCGCATGCGCACGAGAAGCCTTTTCACACGGACTCAACAACACCGCCGGCGACGCAACTGCACGAGACGTTCGGCCTCCCCGCCCCACCGGAATGGATGCTCTCGGAGGTGATCACGGAAAAGAAATCCGTGTTCGTGGGGCGGGCGGCCCGCGTGACGAGTCTGGGCCAGGCGAGAGCGTTTCTGGATTATCTGTTGGCGAGCGAGAAGAAGGTCGCGGCCGCGACGCATAATATTAGTGCGTGGAGGATACGGGAGAGGAAGAATCCCGGTGTGGCTGGTGGGAGGGGGGATTCTTCTGCTGACGGTGGTGGTGATGCTACTGTAGCAGGGGATGTGTCGATTGTGCAGGACTGTGATGATGATGGAGAGACGGCGGCTGGGGGACGGTTGTTGCATCTCATGCAGTTGATGGATGTTTGGGATGTGGTCGTGGTCGTGACGAGGTGGTATGGGGGGGTGTTGTTGGGGCCGGATCGGTTTAGGATCATTAATGCGGCGGCGAGGGATGCGTTGGTTAAGGGTGGGTTTGTGAGGGAGTCGTCTGGTGGGAATGGGGAGGGGGGCAAGAAGAAGAAGGGGAAGAGATGAATTGCATGGCTTTGGCTGTGGGCTGTGGGCTGATGTTGGGTCGTGGGAAATGGGTTTGCTCGGCTGCTCACCGGTCTTGCATAATCCAGTCTGCTTCCTGGCAAGGCTTGAACTGGTGCAGCGTCAATTGCTGCTGCGAACGGACTGCTGCTTGACATGACCATAATGGCATCCATGCGTCCTGCTGGTGGGTTAGCGAAATTCGCACTACCTGCCCCAGGCCATCGGGACACCTTCTTCGATTCAGGGATTTCGGTCGCTGGAAACACCGCTCTGACTGCGCCGCATCCTGGATTCAACCAAATACGGATGTTGTGACGGAGGAGCATGCAACCCTCATGAGCGAGGGTTGTCAATGCAGCCAGAGGCTGTGGCTACTGGTCCAGCTGGTAACTCATGGCGCAAGCGATGAGCTACATGTATTAAATAACTTCTAACATGTATAGTAAATACAGGTAGATAGACTGCAATACACCTCCCGAGAACATATAGTTCCGTGATGTGACCCGAGACAATAACCCATCGTGGCTGGTACCTGTCATATGCAGCACATTCTGCTTTCAATCTCCTGATCCAACCCAGGTACAGCCAATTTCCCTCTACCGAACGAAAAACAGCCACAAACTCACTTTAAGATTCAACGTTCCCGCAGACAGGCTCAGAATGTCTATATCATAGGGCAGGTCAGGAGATGAAGGTGACCGGCTCCCTTCGCTTAAAGTGACGGCTGCGAATCTCCCGCGGTGGCTCGTTTCAAGTAGGTTTTGATCATGTTCCCACGAAGACAGTTTCAGGCTACCTGACAGCCGAAGGTAGCCGCGATCTGTGGTTTCTTGGCATGGACTAGTGATCTGGCTCAGTTGATGAGGTTGTATTGGGGATGGGGTTGGGTATGGCTATGGCCAAGGAGATGAGCCCTTGAAGCTGGTTAGCGAAATTACGATGCTTGGCTCAGTGATTGCAGGTCTTGTTCGATCCAGTGGAGCGATCGTGGCCTGAGTCATTGACTGGTGTTCACGGCGGATGTGCACTCATGTGTAGTCCACCTCATCCAAGTCAAGCAACTGGGCGTATGTACTGTAATGCATTATGCATATGGTGTAAGAGGCGCAGTGTGCCGTGCATTAACCGGTAGGCATCGGTTTTTTGCAAATAACGTCGACACAAAAGGCATCGAAGTTCTAATGCGGAGATTGCAACCGAAGTTTAGCGGAGGTCTCCGACAGGCAGCAAAGAACCAGAATGGCAGACTCCACAAATCCCAGAGCCAGAGTTTTGCGCCGACAAGGTCCGCGGGGATCAGCTTGGAACCATGGAGCGGCGGTGGTTGGGAAAGGTTGCGCAGGTACGGACTGCACCTGCACTAGGTCTTCTTCGGTTCTTACCTCGGTCGGTCCCCTTGATTCCCAACCACAGAATTATTGTTATACACGCCCTCAAGGTAGGATTGAGGGAAGACGCAGGTACAGTACTTTGGGCATGACTCAAGCCGCACTCCGTCCAACCGATCAATATAGTTTTTTACCAGTAAGACATCTGGTTTGACTTTGTTCGCCACCAAGCGCCAAGTCGGACCAGTCAGGGAATGGATAGGCAGGATTGTCCAAAACTCAGCTGCAGTCTGCAAATGAGTTTCCAAGGCATGAGTGGAGGACGATAGACTTTTTTTCTCCTGGTTGTATCGGCTCGGATGTCTGTCTTTGAGCTTGCGTGGATTGGTTGGCTGAGTCGGTCGTTTTGCCCTGATTCTGTGACTGATACACATAGACTAAAGCAGCACTGCAATATTGTTGGCGATCTGATGGTAATGGACCTTATGATAAGCGATCCGGGTGGGGAATGACTGAGAGGGTGACCAAACTTGTGAGAGGCAAATGTGCTATCCTAGTTTATGGATTCACATGCGATGTGGTATCAGACGGAAGTGCGTTTGTAGATCTGATCCCGGACAGGGAGAAGTCCGAAAGGTGCGCGCGCATACATACACATCATCGCAACTCAAAACCGGATAGTTGACCATGAGTGGCTACATGACCCAGGTCGAGCGGAAATTTTGAGATGGAAGTAAGGGTCCGAGACGCAGGGTTTGTGTTTAGTTGACCTAGTCGGGGGAGATGTGACTTGTAAGTTGCGAGGCGATGAGGAGTTGAGATGAGGAAATGTCAATGTGTGGTGGTGATTGGGTGGACAGATTGGACTTTGCGACAGATCGGGTAGTTCTATTCCATTGAGGAGGGTTCATCAGGGTTCATGTCAATCAAATGAGCATTCAATCGGGCCTTGAAGAAAGCCATGTTCCACTAGGGATTATTTGTACCTGAAATCGAGAGCGACAAAACTTACAAACTGCAGTGATGATTGGCAGTGGGCCGGCGCCAATCGATCCTTCCACGGCCAATGATCCGAAGCGCCGGGCTGATGGTGCGACAAGATCCGCCCTGAGCAGTCACCGTTTCACCTGCACTATACTTTTCCATTCTCATCTTCTCCAAACTTTCTACTGTACATTGAACTGTACCCATTCAACTGCACCTACATAGTACACATCAATGCATGTCTTTGAGTTGCATCCCTGATTGTTACCTGTCGCCTGAATCATGGCGCTTGCAATTCTGAACCATGACAATGCTATATAATCCCCCCTGTAACACCAGGGCTGGGCATTCTCTTTCCTTTCCTTCACTCATCCCGCGCTGGAGCGTTCAGTCCTTTCACCCTTTACGCTTGTTCGACAGCTTCGCAGGCTAGTCCTGTCTTTCTTTTCCTTCCCTCATTCTTTTACTTGCATCTTTGCGGTGAACCTGCCTGCGGCAGTCTCCGATATTCCTTCCTTCGAATCAACAAAGAACAAATATTGTTTGGTGACATCTTCCGCCACAAAACCATTCTTTGACCTGTGGCTTCTTTGTTGTCCGCTCTGCATAAAGGTAATTTTCTCTGTGCACATCGATGTGTTATGCCCATGTGTTATGCACGGTCTTCTATACGGAGATCTTCTATGGATTGCATCGGTCATTGATCTTTAACATTCATATGTACGAGATATAAAAAGCACCTTGCTAACCTAGTTACATCAGTTGTTCCGTCCTTCAAACCTTCAAACATCAGTTCCTATTCGTCTGGCACGATTTGAACACTATTTTACCATCACTTTTCCAACTGTTGAACAGTCTAACGCTTTACGAACCAACCACCATGTTCTCCAAGTCGACTTTCGTGGCAGTTACCCTGCTCGGCCTGTCCGCTGTTGAAGGACACATGATCATGTCCAAGCCTGTTCCCTACGGCAAGGATACTCTCAACAACTCGCCCCTGGCGGCTGACGGCAGTGACTTCCCCTGCAAGCTCCGTTCCAACACCTACCAAGTCACCGAATGGAACAAGGCAGCTGTCGGCGAGAGCATGCCACTGACCTTCCAGGGCAGTGCCGTCCACGGTGGAGGATCCTGTCAGATTAGTCTGACCACGGATCTAGAGCCTACCAAAGACTCATCGTGGATGGTCATCAAGTCGTTTGAGGGCGGCTG